TGGTCTTTACATGCTAGCATGTAATTTGTTTTTCTGCCAAAAATTGTATTAGAAATTATTCTGGAAACCAATGCTTAGATAATATAAATGGAAGACTGAGTCAAAGATATGAAATAATGGTTGTTTTGGCCACCTAGATAAATAGAAGAGATAGTACATTCTGTTCTGCATGTGTGGTAATACTACACAACACTGAAAACAACAAAACACAATTACGTAAGTTCCCACATCATGCTCACGAATACACTGCAAGTCATCATTCTCAATATACATAAGATGAAACGCACCTTAAACCTTTCCCCTAAACAAGTATTTTAAGGCAGGACACATCAAGTGTAGGTTCTTTTTGTGTGTTGGCTAATAAAAGATTTTGGTCTGAGACAGGATAAATATGACAAGATTTTCACCAAGGTTTAAAATAAAATGTATCACTTCTGCGGCCAAATACCAGAATGCGCTCTAACTCAGGCTCCCTCTCATCTGAAAGTCATTCTATCTTGGTGTTTCTACAGGTGTGCTCAGTGGGCCACCCCAGTCACGATCACGGGGGCGCTGTGGAAAACATAGGATCAGAGCCTGGAAAAAAGTCTCCGTGCGTGAAGGCCTGTCGGGGGGCGGGGTGGGGTAGCACGAAGTAGATACCAGGGAGTCTGAAGGTTCCAATCTCCTGGGGATCCTTAAACACTTTTGGGGTGAGAACCCACAGATTGAATGTTTTACTGCCCGCTCTTCCATATTTGTTCTTTTTAAGCCCTTCCCTGACAGTGGGCAGGGCGTGGTGCAGATGGCTCATTCCAACATGAGTTCATGAATGGAAGTTCTAGTGGCCAGGAATTGGCAGAAGAAAGACAGGAGGAGAAGTGGCTGGGTAAACAGGAAGCTAGTGTCTCTTTTGGAGAGAAAATAAGCCGCAAAGGCTGGGATAAGAAAGGAATTGATCCTATTGGTGACTAAGTCTTCTCCCCCAGCCCCCTAAGACACGTGGAAGGGCAGCTGAGCAGAAAAGATGGAGAGCAGTCTTTAAGATTTCATTTGAGCTGGTGACGAGACTTCCCATTTATTTCCAGCTGCCTGGTGGGTAGATTCTTCTTTGCAGAGGGGACACTTCATAGGTAAAACAAATGCCACTGCGGTCAGTGCCTGACCATCGAACTGGATTCACTGAAAGTATGCTGCGTTCTCTCACTTATCATGGACGTGGTGTCTCCCAGGATAATACGCTTTTTTCTTGGTTCAATATTTTCATCTTCTCTTGTCCCTAACTAAGCCCTAGATTTGCTGTATCTAATATCCTTCTCCATATCATGTATTTGTGAGCAAATAAATTAATATGGCAACTTGAATGGAAATACTAATCTGTGACTAAATATCATATTTAACAAGGGGGCAGAAAGAATTTACATTTTGAACTTCAAACAATGGAAATAAATGCCCTCAGTGATGAGATTTCCAAATTGGCAAGACTGCAAGGACAAAGGAAATATTCATGCATTTGATCGACCCTTCGAGAAGTGAGCCATTATCAGCAGGCCAGAACTTGCCAAAAACTCTATGGGAAATATTGGATGAAAAGTGATTGAAACTAGAAGTGCTTTAAGCTGGTAAGCCAAGCCATGTCCAAAGGAGACAGAAAATAAAATATTACCTCTGCATATATAATATTTATTTATATAACATATCAATGTATATATTTAACAATTCATTTTAATTCAGCAAATATTTATTGAGTGTTTATCAGGTTAGACACTATGTCCCACTAGATTTTGGGAACACTATTTTGGGAACGCTATGTCCCACTATTATTTTGGGAAATAATAATATCTAGGTTCTCCTACCTCCAGGAACTCACAAGCTGGTAGCGTGTGAGAGGGAACACAATCGTTGACAGCAAAATGACACTGGATGTTATCGGTGATTGGACCTCCGCTCAGCAACCTCGGTACTTGAGTTCAGCAAAGAAAATATTCAGAACCAATGAACTTAAATCGAAGGAGAATGTTTATTTAGAAAGTCACAGAGGCAGAAAGAAGTGAGTCAGCTGCGTCACGTGGGCTCAGGAAACAAGTTGCAGAGGAAAGAAGGGGGCTCTTGGAATTTAGGAGAAGGAAGGGCAAAGGTAACACGCCCGGGGGAAGGAGAGGCGGGAAAGAGCAGGTGTGCTCTGGAGAAAGAGACCTCAATATGGGTCTTCCATTTCGAGAGTTTTTATCTGCTTTCCAAAGGCAGGGATTTCAGGGGAGGGACCAGGGGACGACTCAACACAATATTCATTAACTTCCCAGGTGTAGCCTTTCAGGGCAGCAGTCCCCTCTGATTGGTTGTTGCTAGGGCACAGGGTCACTAGTCATCACAACTGGTATCAGCCTTCAGCATTGGTATCACTCCTCCCATGAGCCCCCACCCACCGGCCTTACTGCTCTTCTGGGCCCGGAACTGAAACACAACTGAGGCCTAGATGTTTTCTCTGGGGTGACTAAAACCCTGTCTCTGTGGTCAACAGATCCAATATTCTGCTTCCAAGATCATTTGATGCAGGTCAGAGCCTCATTATCCTGAGGGCTTAATGCTTAAGGGAGTGGTCATTCAAGGGCATCACATGAGGCTATTCTCAGGCCCCCTCGCTCCTCCTCCAAGGGAATCTACCTCATGACTAGTGACATGCCAGGGAGGAAAGGTCAGGGGAGGGTGGGGACCAATGACCAGCAGCATGAAAGGTGAAGAAATCTAAACCAGCAGTGGGCAGTGGAGGAAAGGTTACCCTGGGGTTGAGGCCCTTGTTTTCCCAGTTTTACCCATTGTGAGGCCCCCAGGGCTTTCCAGCCCGGTGACCTTCTGTACCTGGCCTATGGTTATGGTCCCACTGAGCACACGTCTGTCTAACTGCCTACGGTATCACCACGATTCCTACAACTTAACACAACCTGACAAGGATTATATTAGCAACCTGCAGAAAGTGCTACCGTTGCAAAGACTCATGGGAAAGAAGAAACCTGATGTTGGTGCCAGCTGCCGGAGAAGCCCTCCCAGATGAGGTGACATTGAACTCCTTGGAATTTCAGTGGACATAGGAAGGTGAGAATGTCCTGGCAGACGGAACAGAATTTACAAGTTAGGAGTTACTTATAACTGGAATGAAGAGGTTGGGATGGGCTGGGTAGGAAATCACAAAGCTTCATGGTTTCAGTGGTCAATTCATCTACACATTTATTTATCCAGCAGACTTTTGGTGGCTGCTGAAGGAGGTAGGTACTGGGTACAGAAGCTCAGGAGACATTCAGGGCTTCTTCATGGCCCCTGGGCTCGGGAGAGACTGCTGGAAAATGGGACTGGGACTTGAAAAAACAGAAACCGCTGTTGGATTCTAGGACTTCCTGTGGTGTCCCAATGACACCTTTCCAAAGACTGTCTGCCGCTTCACTGAGCACAGACTACGTGCTGTGCTCAGTGGCTGCGCCAGCACGAGGACCCTGCATGGCAGTGTCCCCTCTACTTGCAGATGGGAAGAGAAGCTCCAGGTGCCTGAGACTGTGCAGCTTGTAGAAAGGAAGCTTGATTTGGTGCACACATTGATCTCGGTGGCCTGGTCATTGTAAAGGCTGAAGAACAGCTGGATTCAAGTCCTCTCCCACCTCAGCCCTGCCCAAAATGCCATCTCAAAATGCTCAGGAGGCCACCCTGGCCCTGATGATGTGGGCCAGCTCTGCAGAAGCTGTGCAGGTGATTCATGCCTCTCTGCTCTTCCAAGAGACCAGAGCTGATTGCCTTGCTGGGCACAGTGGCAGCAGATCCCTGACCCACCCTATTCCCCCCAAAGCAAAGATTTCCAATTACTGCTCTGCAGAAAATGTCAAAAGCATTATTCAACTATTCATTATCCCAGGTTTTGTAATTTTTCATATGTTTTTACTCTTATCTGCCAGCACTTGAAAAAGACCAGCTTTTTCCTCTTAAGAGAGCTTTAATTTGCAGAGCTGTGCAGTCTCCCTATTATGTTCTTATCATCCTCTCCTGGTGGTAGGCAGAATGACAAGGATGACAAAAAAAATAAAGAAAGAACCAAAAATATTTGAAGGTCTTCCTGAAAATCCATGGGAATGAAGGATCTGAAAAGCCTGAGGCTTCTATTCCTCGAGTGACCTGGAACGAGGCCAAGGGCAAAAGGCCTGCGCTATCGAAGTCCACTCAGCAGGAGCTCTTGGCTCCTCACAAGGACCCAACCCACCACCCAGGGCCCAGGAAACTTGGCCTTTGACGATTTCCCTCAGGGTCTTAAACGGGGGACTAAGGAGCTCTGAGGTGCTGAGAGGTTCTCCCCGAATTCTCTTAATGAGGGGATGTTTTGGCACCCCAAGGACTAGAGGCCAAGGGGCACTAGGAGTGAGCGGTTAGTGCTTCCCCCATCTTCTCTGGCCTCCGCCCCATTCTTTCACAAAGCAATTGACATTTTTCTCCACGCTGTCTGAAGTGCTCTGCAAAGGCAACTTCAAGTTCCCTAGCTCCTCTCCTCCACCTAGATGGCGCCCAGAGCCCCGCCATCTGGAAATTCCGAGCTGCCATGTCCCTGGATCCTTGCCTCCCAAGATACTCAGGTGTAAGAAACCTGCGCCCCGGGACTCCGGGTTTCCCGGGGGGACGCGCGGTCTGCGGTGCGCCGGGCTCGGGGGAATCCCCGCCCACCCAGTCCTGCGCGCAGGGAATCCCCGCCCCCCGCCGCTGTCACTCGGGGACGGGAGTTCCCGCCCCTCGACTCCACCGGTGGGAGGGAATCCCCGCCCATCCTGGAGGCTCCGTGCGGCTGGGAGAGCAGAGCGCGGCGCGGACTCCCAGCGCCGGGTGTACCGGCCCCAGGCGGCCCCGGGCAGGCAGGCGCGGTGGGGTGGCGGCTGCGGGGACCGCGGAGGCGCGGACGCCGGGGACTGCGCCTCCCGCGGCTGCGGGAGAAGCGCGGCGCTGCAGCTCCCGGCAGGCGCGGCGGCAGCACCCGCTGTGGCGGCGGCGGCGGCCTCAGCGGCGCGGGGTCCCGCCGGGCGGCGCCTGGATCTGAAGAAGCGAGAGGCAGCAGGAACCTCCGAGGAGCCGAGCACAGGTGAAATGACCGTGAGGCCACTGCAGGGACGTGGGGATCCAGACTGGGGGTCGGGGGGGTCGGGGGCGGGTTGCCACCTCCGAGACTGCGTGCGCCCGGGAAAGTTTAGTGACAAATCCCGGTGCCGGAATCCCAGCCGCGGCAGGGCGGTGAGTGGGGAGCCGAAGCCGGGTCCCACGTTGCTCGGCCGGCGCAAACTCCCCTGGTATCCGCCCGGGGGCGGGGAGGACGCGGCCACGGTTAGAGGGGCGGAAGGAGGGGACCGAGAACAGCGTGACAGCCCGAGACGCACTGCTGGACACGCTTGGTCAAGGACCTGGAGCCCTTGCACTTCATATCCCCTTCCCTGGGCCATCACCTGGCTCTCTTGGCCGGGGCGGAGGCACTCAGGTGCGCCGGCCTCAGGCACTGCATTGGGGTCTGTCTCCCGCGCGTCCTCAAGCCTCGCCTGCCGCTGCCCGGGGGAAAGACGAGCGCGGCGAGGGAGTGGAGGGGGCTCGCAAAGGGCAGCGGCATCTTTGGAGCAGTTATTGGCAGCTGCCAGGAGGAGAGGGAACGTACCGATGGGAAACCCTCCTCTCCCTGTTAAGTGTGGAGTTCCTCCTAAAATCTGGCCTTCTCCCTTTCTTTCTTTCTTTAGATTTGCATTGATATTTTAGGTCTTTGGGCTGCTTGCCTTCCCGCAATGCTGAATCAAGTAGGGGGAGGGTCCAGGGCTCCTGGCTGGGGTTTGCCAGAAGCCTGACCTCGGCAGCCCTGACGGGTGCAGAGACCTTGATAAGGGACCTTGGAGTGTGAAGAGGACATGGTCTGGCAGGAACTGGTCGCAGAAGACTGGAATAGCAGACACGAGGGCATTCCAGAGCTGCAGACCTGCACTGGGACAGGAGGTGGAGTGCTGGGGGCAGGAAGGCACTGTGTTTCTCTCTGGCACCTGGCTGGCCTCCCGCCTCCCAGAGGTTGGGCACCTTGGGTGGATGCGTTTCCCTTAATGAATCATGATGAAGCTGTTGGAGGTGGTCGCTGAATGGCTGTAGAAAGTGTTGTCTGGATCTGCTTTTACTAAGAGGCTCCCTGGACCTTCAGTGCGGCTGGTCCTTCCCCAGTGGGGCTTCCCACCCTCAGCCTGCCTTGCACTTGGGCTCTAGGGACCTGGTTGGTATTTCTACACGGCCAGCTTTTCTGGTCTGACTTCTGGGTGGGTGTCAAGTCGGTACAGGTGTGGTATGGGAGTGCTGCTTGTGGGGGCAGAATAGAATGTCTCAGAACACGCTCGTGCTGTAGGTGGTTTGTTCTAGCTTCATTAATTCCCTCTTCCATTAGAATGGGCCAAGAACTGCTGAGTGTGTGTACGTGGGGAGGTGGGGATGCAAGAGTAGGGGGATGGCGGGGGCTGGGAGAGGAAGAATCAGAAAGTATGTAAATGCACCTCCCTTGACGTAGTTAATATGCTTCTGGAAAAATATTGAATTATACTTAAAATCTCTATCATTGAAATTGATTTTGCATGCATTTAAGGCAGCTTACTATTTAAGGAAATTTACACTGATTTCTCTATTCATTTCAAACAATTTTTTTTGATAACCTGTGGTTTGCTGCGCACAGGGGCTTAAAGGCTCCTGGGGACACACATAGATGAAAGAGGCTCCCTCCTTGCTCTCAGAGTTTCAATCTCTCCGGAGAAAGTGAGATAACTATACTGAGAGCTCAGACCCAAGCCGGTGCGTGTGTGGCATATAATATGCATCTTATATGTACCGGGTGAAGGAATAAGGGATGATGCAATGACTAAAGCACCTGAAGAGTGGTCTACAGAAAACATTTTTGGAGTGGGGAGGGGTCTGGAAGGCTCTGTGGAGAGCCCAGAGCCTGCGTAGATCAGTGCGTGCTGTGGGTGATCCTCAGGTGGGATGCGGCCCTTGGGAGGATGCGGCCCTTGGGAGGATGCGGGGAGAAGAGGCTGAGCTGAGGACTTGGAGGCCCTTAGCTCTGCAGCTGCTAGGGAACTATTTGAGACTGTTGAGCAAAGGACTATCGTGGTCAGCCAGGTGCTTTAGGGAAATTAATTTGATCTCCCACAGAAAAAGGTTGGGGTTGGGAAGAGATGGTAGGTGAGGAGCCTAGTGAGGAGGTTATTGTAATAAGATGGAGGATGGAGGTCGAGCGGTGTGGGGGGCGGCAGCAGGCTCTGGAGAAAGGAAAGGTTCATCAGATGTGGACTTGAAGTGTGGGCGCTGCTTGGATTTGCAATGAAGAACCAGCAAGGACCACCCGCAGGTTGGCAGTGTGAATGTGCAGTTGACTGAAAGAGGGAGTTTGGGGTTGTAACACTCAGCATACCAGAAACGGAGAAATGCTGTTGGACTTTCCCTTCTCACTCCTCCCCTATCTGATCAGTCAGTCGCCAAGGTTGTTGACTACTCCTCCTTGTAAAACGTATCAATGGGCCCCAGGACCTTGTGTGGAATAAATTCCAAACCTGTGTGCTTCCTCAAACGCCCTTCCTGTTATGTCTCCCAACAAAACCCACACACCCCGTACTGACCTGTCTTACTCTCTGCCTCTACAAATGCTGTTTTTCTGGGATGAGGACTTGGAGTATCCTTTCTCCCCTGGTTCTTTCCAATCCAGCTCAAGGGCCTCCTGCTCCATGAATTCTCTAAGATTCTCCCAAGGGACGTTGAGCAATTTTACCTTCGGACCATCACTCTACAGAGCCCTATTTGCACCCTCATCATGATGCTCTGGTCCCTTTCCTTTAGGATCTTGTCTTGTGCATTCCCGGTCGCCCACCGACTTAATCAGATTAGTCAGCAAGGGACAGGCCACACTCCAGACCCCCCGTGCCCTGCTGATTGTACTCTAGGGTGTAGTCCGAACCCCGACTTGGAGGTCCCAGGCCTGGTGGGCCAGACAGGATAGCACAGAGCTGTGGGTGCTGCTCCCTTGTCCTAGATCGTGTGGGCCTGAGTGACTCAGACCATGGTGGGAGGGGGGTGTCCCCATTGAAAGGTGACCCCAGATCCCTCTTACTACACCATTCACAAGAGGAAACATTTAAACCTTTTTGTCAAACCCACAAAAGGTCAGGACAAACCCAAAGAGAGGCCGAATCCCCTTAACAGGGCTGACTTGGAGCCTCATGAGTTTTAACCTCTTCTTTTCTGACCTCAAGCATCTCCACAGTACCAAGTAGGATGCTAGGGAGGCAACCTCCTGAAGGAGGCAGGTGGACAGGTGCAGGCAGGAATGTCTGAGAAGGGCCAGCCTCCCAAAAGGAGGATGGGGAAAGGCCACTGACAGACCCTGAGAGCATGTCTGTAAAGGATGGTCACGGAAGCCAGGGGACAAGACACAAAGGAGAGAGTGAGGCCAAGGCAGTGGAGGCGGGGGCGGGCAGGTGTAGACCCTGATCCAGGAGTGTGCCAGTTAAAACGAATCGGAGAGTTGGTTGGAGGAGGTGGTAGCATTGTGGGGAGGCTTATTCAGGAGAGCCTCCTAGTTCCCCTTCCCAGGCATGTGTGGTAAACAAAGGAGAAGTGGGGAATTGGGAGAGAATGGAGACAAGGTGAGGGGCGTTTGGTAGGGAAGAGGCCCGAGCAGGTACAGGGGAAGAAAAGCTGGCATCTGCCTTTTCTGGAAGGCAGGAGGGAAGCCAGGGTTGGGCGAGGCCTGGAGGGAACCTGCAATGCAGCGAACGGACAGAGGAATTGGTCTTGGTGGAACAGGAGGAGCACCTGCGGGGGTGGGTGGGTGGAGGGGGGGTCATTGCAAGAGCCTGGGGACCTAGGGGGACAGGTGAATGTGCAGCTGCTGGCCCAGAGACTTGGGCTGGAACCTGGCAGCGCGGAGACCTTCTCATTTTGGCCAGATCACTCGAAATTTTGGAGCCTCAGTGTCTTCACCTGCAAAATCAGTACAACAGCTACTAACTGGGGTTGTACTTAGGAGGAATAAAGAAACGTACTGAGGTGTGTATGCAGACCTCACAATAACAGCATCTGTTACGAAGCCGTTCCCACTGATAGTGTGTTGAGAAATGAATTAGCCTCTCGCCCAAATCTGTGACAGCCCAGTTAAACATAGACAGCAGGAATTTTTAGTGGACCCAGCCGGAGCTTTCTTTCAGCTTTAGATGAAAAACTTTGGACTGCTCAGAGCAGCCTGGCCTCCCTGTTCTCCTTTAAGGAATCTTTCAGGATGTGCGCCCTTTTATCTACTGGCTGGCTTAACTGGATGCATCTGCCTTTCACTTTCCCGTTATGCAAAGGTCAGTTTGCCGGGGCTCAGAGCTGGGAGATCCTGCCTCGTCTTGCTCCTCTGTGGTTTGGAAGGGAGTGATGCTTTCCCACTTGCTAATTCCTGCACTTAGGAAGCTGGGGCCCAGAAAGCTGAGGACCTGCCTCATCCAGTACAGCTGGAGCTGAAGGCACAATGTACAGATGCTTGAGCTGGGGAACTGTTGTCTTTTAGTGCCAGTGTTGCAAGATGCAGTTGGGTAAGGAAGGATTATAAATCTGTGTATCCCGTTGGTTTTGTTAATAAATCTGTGCTGAAACCTAGAGAGATTAAATAAATACCCTTGCATATTAGTGAAGAGGAAAAGGAAAGGAGCACTTAGCTTGATTTAGTAAACACTCAATAGATGCGTGTCAAATTAGATGATATTGGGGGAATATGTGCAGGATTTTTTTTTTTAAGAAAAAGAAGTTTTAGGTGAAAGAGGGTATGGGCGGATACATGGTGATGGAAAAAAATTTTAATTTAAAAACAAAACCAACCCCCCCAAAACCATTGAAATAAACAAACTTGTGCCCTGGCTGGTGTAGCTCAGTGGATTGAGCACAGGCCTGTGAAGCAAAGGATCCCCAGTCTGATTCCCAGTCAGGGCACATGCCTGGGTTGCAGGCCAGGTCCCCAGTGGGGGACACATGAGAGGCAACCACACATTGATGTTTCTCTCCCACTCTTTCTCCTTCCCTTCCCCTCTCTCTATAAAT